GGCAGCCCGAGTCGGCGGCTCTGGGAGGTCCGGGCCCCGGGCTGTGCTGCTGGGTGTCTGTGTTCTCCTGTCTCAGCCTCGCCTGCTCCTATGTGGGCAGCCTCTATGTCTGGAAGAGCGAGCTGCCCAGGTGCGGGGGCTGCGCGCACGGCGGAACCCGCGCCTCCACGAGGCGGGGCCTGGGGCTGCGGGCGGAGCTTGGGGCGCACTGAGGGCGGGGCTGCGCGGTCGGAGGGCGACTTTGGGCCCCTGAACTTAACGCCCCTCCGTAGGGACCACCCCGCCGTCATCAAGCGGCGCTTCACCAGTGTCCTGGTGGTGTCCAGCCTGTCGCCCCTCTGCGTGCTGCTCTGGAGGGAGCTCACCGGCATCCAGGTGCAAAGGAGGCGGGGCAGAGGGCGACGGGAGAGAGCGCCGGGGTCTGGGGGAGGGAGCAAGACTGATGCTTCCTTTCCTGTGGCTCAGCCAGGCACATCCCTGCTCACGCTGATGGGCTTCAGGCTGGAGGGCATTTTCCCAGCAGCACTGCTGCCCCTGCTGCTGACCATGGTGAGTCCTCCATTACCTTTCCTCCTCTGTTCTCTGTATTAGCATGACGCTCCTTTCTTTGACCTTTTTTACTTATCCTGCTTGTGTCCAGTATGTGCCTGATGGGAGACAGGAATTGTGAGATGGCTCGAGGCCCTCGGGTATGCATTGGGGGGGAATCCCGGCTGAGACTAGGAAACTTGAGGCCTTTTCTGGGCAAAAGCAGTGGATTATAGTTGAAGACTTTCATTTGATTGCTCCTGTTTTTGTGTCTCCAGATCCTTTTTCTGGGCCCACTGATGCAGCTCTCAATGGATTGCCCCCGTGACCTGGCAGATGGGTTAAAGGTTGTCTTAGGTGAGTCCTCAGGGCTGAAGGAAAAAGTAAGCAGGCAGTCCAGGACAGAGGGAGTCATGATGGGACCTGAACATGAGATGTGAGATGTTTTATATTTCCTCATCAGTAAGACGGGAACATATAGCAGGTGTCCTCTAAGCGTTGGTTCCTGATGTTTAGGGAACCTCCTAGGGACCCCTAAAAGTGTATTTGGTGTTGACTAGAGAGCACTTCTATTTCCCCTAACCTTTGGCTTCTCAGCAGAGTTAGTCTTGGGCAGATTTTGATGTTTCCAGATATCCTACCTCAGCTACTAATGGCCTTCCCATTGTCTTCTTGAGACAATGCTGATAAACAAAGCTGGACCTTTATATGTTCTCAGTGTGCATGCTTAACCTGAGTTTGGCCAGGAAAAGATTGTGGGAGGCCTCTAGGGCAGTGGTTCTCAACCTTCTGGCCCTTTAAATCCAGTTTCTCATGTTGTGACCCAACCATAAAATTTTCATTGCTACTTCATAACTGTGATGTTGCTACTGTTATGAATTGTAATGTAAATATCTGATATGCAGGATGGTCTTAGGTGACCCCTGTGAAAGGGTCGTTTGACCGCCAAAGGGGTCGCGACCCACAGGTTGAGAACCGCTGCTCTAGGGTTTCTCTTCAGTAGCTAGCCACTCATTGCTTGTCTTGAACCCCTCCCTAGCCCCTCGCTCCTGGGCCCGCTGCCTCATGGATATGCGTTGGCTTCGGAACCAAGTGATTGCGCCCCTTACAGAGGAGCTAGTGTTTCGGGCCTGCATGCTGCCCATGTTAGCACCGTGTACGGGCCTGGGCCCTGCCGTGTTCACCTGCCCACTGTTCTTTGGAGTTGGTGAGTGTGCAACCTGGTCCTCTGAGATAGCATGAGAGCTGAGAATGGGGCTTGGGGCAATGGTAGGGCATAGAGGGCAGGCTGAGAGCAATGTGACGTGGTTCTCGCCTTCTTCCTAGCCCATTTTCACCACATTTTTGAGCAACTTCGATTCCGTCAGAGCAGTGTGGGGAGCATCTTCTTGTCTGCAGGTGAGTTCTAGAGAGCATGGCTGGGGTAATCCTGGATTGGGGGACGGGAGGTGTGAGGGTGTCCCTAAATTAGCCACTATGAAAGAATTGGGAACAGCGGGCTATAATATTGATGGGGCCAGGATTTGGGGTGTAGAGGACAGCTACAGGTGCTGGGGCAGGTAGTCACTGCCCCCAGGGGGAAGGGGAGCTCTGGCTGGTGGGTGTACAGTGCCGGGACAGGAAGGGCATGCAGGTGTGGTCACTCATAGCCTCCCTGTTTCCAGCGTTCCAGTTCTCCTACACAGCTGTCTTTGGTGCCTACACTGCTTTCCTCTTCATCCGTACAGGTTGGTCCCCAGTCCCTCGCGATGCCCAGGTGTTAAGGGCCCACAGGAGTAGGTGGGAGAATGGGAAAACTGTGTTTATGAGCAATTTTTTTTTTTAAACCACAGTCCTTGAGACAGGGCCCTCAGCCTGGTGAGGTTTGAGAGGTGGAAGCAAGCAGAGGCCATGGTGTGTGGGTGGACAGGTGGGACGCTGATCTCCTGTTCCAGGGGATGAGGGTAATTACCCGAAGAGGTGGTGGGTCTACTCTAGAGCTGTTCTGTCTCCCTTTCCCAGGACACCTGATTGGGCCAGTTCTCTGCCACTCCTTCTGCAATTACATGGGCTTCCCTGCTGTATGTGCAGCCCTGGAGCATCCACAGAGGCGGCCCCTGCTGGCAGGCTATGCCCTGGGTGTAGGACTCTTCCTGCTTCTACTTCAGCCCCTTACGGACCCAAAGCTCTACGGCAGTCTTCCCCTTTGTGTGCTTTTGGAGCAAGCAGGGGACTCAGAGGCTCCCCTGTGCTCCTGACCCATGCTCCCGTACACCTATGAACTCTCATGGGCTCCTCAGCCCCTCCCCATCAAGGGGTACTGCAGGGGAGGAGCTGGCTGGGGTCCCGAGATCTCAGGAATTTTTGTAGGGGATTGAAGCCAGAGCTAGTTAAATCCCAGGGACCAAGAGAAAGGAGCAGATAGCCAAAGGGTGCAGCCCCTCTTGAAAGGGGAGTGAGGAGCAGGCCCCAGGAGCTGTGCACGCCCTCCCTCACTGTGGACTGCTGCTTCTCAGCTCCTCTGTCCCTGAAAAGCTGCTGAGGGATAGAATTTACAGAAACCCCTCTCCCCCCAATTTCCCAGGGTTTTCTCACTGTCTTTTTGCATCAGGACTTTGTATTGGGATATTAAAGAGATTTAACTTGGGTAACATGGCCTTGGACCTTTGGGAATTAGTCTCTTTGGAGTCTTGGGAGTATGCCTGGTAGGGACAGTTCCAGGGGGGACAGGATGGGGGCCTCTGTCTGACTTGGGTCTTGTAGCTTCCTTCTTACCGAGCCAGGCTCCAAGTCCTAGCAGACGTGGACCTGGAACTGTAGGTACCAGGTGTGGGCCCACTCATTTTAGGGCCTGTGACTTGGCCACCAGGAAGTGGAACTCAGCACCCTGACCCCAGTGATAGAGCCTCCAACTTGTGTCTCCTGAGTGGGGGGAGGGTCGCCTCCACCAGGATCTCCCCAAAGTCTACCAGCCTCGAATTATGTGAGAGCAACTAGACCCCAAACGTTAGAAGAACCAGTTCAGATTACATGGAAGTAGAGGCTGTTCAGGTTGCCTCCATCTTGGATCTCTGCCACCAGGCTGCTTGTCTGTCCCTGGAGGAACCCGGAACAAAGGCCTTGAAGAGAGCGCTGTAACTCAAGGTTCTTAGAACCTGCTCTTCCTCTTATTTTTAGAATGGTTTTCAGGTCCCATTCCAGACTCTAGGAGGGTGTTCTGAGTCCCATTCTCTGAGGCTGGTGGTGGAAGGAAAGGAAACGGGTGTGCAGTCACTACTCATGGCGCCCTCAGGCTGGCCGTGGCTGTCACACACCTACCTTGTGGAGAGCTCTGTGCAGCAGCTGTTGGAGGCAGAAGAGGTGAGCATAGACCTGTTCAGAGGGTACCTTTGGGATCTTGGAGACCAAAGAGGAGGAAGCCCAGGCCCACACCAAAGATTAGGTTATAATACCGTGGGAGCACTGAGCTGGCAGGGTGCTAGGATGGATCCCTGGGAATCACGGTATCTAGGCTCTGCCCCTCCTCTTCCTCTCATTCCTTCTCAGGAACTGTCCCCCCAGCCCCACCATCCTCACCTCCTTATGCAGTGGCAGCAGTACAGTGGTGCAGGCAGGGTTACTGTTTCACCCTGCTGGTGGGGAACGGGCTCAGGATAGGATTCTCCTGAGAGCTAATAATGGGGGGTGGGCTGGATTAGATCCCAAGAATCTCCATCAAGTGCTCCCAGCCTCCCACCAAAATTCTCATACCTGGAGGTTCCTATACTGAGGGTCTCGCCTGCTTCCCAGAACTGGTGCTTGTTTGCATCCAGTCCTAAAACAATGGGGTGCGAGGTTGGCCCAGGGTTTAGAATGTAAAGCAGTTTGGTTGGGAAGCAAGTTTACTGTCAGCCTAGGTTTGAACCCTCTGCCTCTTACTAGCTGTGGGGTCCTACCTATGACTCCATCCGTGTCCATAAAACGGGGAAAGGTTGATTACCTGAGCCACTTCCTCCACCCACCCCAAGCTCTCAGTAATTTTTGGGTGTGTATACAGTAGGTACTCAGTAGTAGCTTAAATCAAGGCCACTACCGCTATCCTCACTACCCTCCAAGGAAGAAGATACAGCTTGCCTGGGGAGTCAATGGGGCAGCTCTGTCCTCTGTGAATGGCATGTGCGGTGGGCTGCAAAGGACCCACGATGGAGGGCAGGTGAAAGTCAGTTTTATTGAGCAAAGTTCTCAAGACCTGGGGCCCAGGTTCCTAACCCCCTTTCCAAGGTAGGACCCCCCAAATCTGCTCTCTTGGATCCTAGGCCCACCTGTGCCACACCACCTCTAGTCTCCAGCAAG